GAGGGCGCCGAGCAGGAACGACGCCGTCGTCGTCGGCGTCGGCGCCCCTGCTGCCCCCCGCCCCTGAGGCTCCAGCTCGGCCGTTCCAGGGGGTCCGGGGCGGGCTCCCCCTGGCATGCGCCGGGGAGGCCGGAGCGGGCTCCCCATGAGAGTGGGCCGACAGGTGGCAGCGAAGACGCTGGAGCAGGGCCGAAGCGAGGCACAAAATCGAGGTCGGTTCGCGGAGAGTGCCCCACAGTCGGGTCCCTGAAGAAGGACCCCTTTTCGTTGGGAAGGGGCTCCGTGTTCCTTCATTGTTGCACAGCTTGCCTCGAGTGTTCCTTATGCTTTTGATGGGACATCGTTCCTTATGGGGGGTCGTTCCTTATATGGGGCTCCTTGGGTCCACGCCCCGACTGTCGTGTTCGACGTCGGCCGCAGTGCCGCCGCCTGGCCCGCCCGAGCGCGCGGTCGCCCGGCGGGCCCGCGCGCGCGCGGACTGCCCCCCTGCCGCGGTGCGGCGCGGCGCGGCGGCGGGCGGGGGGGGGGAGGTGGGAAGGAGGAGGCTTGGCATCCCTCGGACGCGTGCATCTTGTTCTCGGCGAGGACCCTCGAGGGGTGTCTTTGATCCTTTCGAGCGAAAAAGAGACGCACGAAAGCGACAAAACATGCACGGAGAGTGGACGTCCGAGCGATGGCGAGAGGAGGCTTGCTGAGAGGGCGGCGGTGCTTCTCGGAGGCCTCCCGGCCGGCTGCGGTTTTTTTGTCAGCGGTTTCGTCGACATCTCAGAAGGCTGGGGATGCAGGCGGGTCGCGGGAGGACGGCCGGACCGAGGTAGAAGGTCGAGGGCGGCTCGGGCAGTGCACCCTCATGCTCCTTTGCGTTTGTCGGACGCTCTGGCGCATCCTGGGAAGGGCGCCCTTGGACGTATTGCTCGCGGTTTGGCCGGCGGAGGGTCTCGTGCTCTTAGGGGGGGGGCCCCTGCGTCCCAGGCCCAATCGGGAGGAACAGTCATGGTTCAGAGGGGGCTGGCTGCTCCTCAGGCTGCCCCCCTGCGGTTCCTCTTGCCCTCCTCGGGCACGGTGGTGCTTTCAGGGCCAGAGAAAGACCCGCCGCACGTGAGTTGCCGTTGCTTCTTCCAGCGGCCCGACTGTGTGTGCTTCGGTGCGGCGCTGTGCGGTTCCCGTTGACCTGCCGTTGACGCTGCGGTGCTATTCGGTTCCCTGGCACGGTCGCCCCTGGGCCTCGGCCGTGCGCAGAGAGGGGGGCGGGGGAGGGCCTGGCATCGCTCGGACGTGTGCATTTTTCTTTCGGCGAGGGCCATCGAGGAGCATCCTTGATCATTTGGTGAAAAATCCACGCACGAAACCGAAACACAGGGATTGGACGTCCGAGCGATGGCCAGAGGGGGGGTGTCCTTGGGAACAGCTCTGCTCCTTGGGAGGGCGCGGGCCTTGTCTCTGGATGCAGGCCCGCGCCCTCGAAGAAGCAGCCTCGCAAACGGCCTGTCCCTCCCTCCGTGCCGCCCTCGGACGGGATTGGGAGGAGGAGGAGGGAGGAGGAGGAGGAGGAGGAGGAGGAGGAGAGGAGGAGGAGGAAGAGGAGAGGAGGAGGAGGAGGAGGAGGGCGGGAAAATGACCACAGCCACTGCTTCTTGTTTGCGCCGCCTTCCAGCCGGCCGAAAAAGAAGCGGTGGCTGTGGTCGTTTCCCTGGTGCCAAGCTGAACGGAAATGACCACAACCACTGCTTTGTTTCTGCTGGCTGGAGGGCGGCAAGAAAAGAAAAGCAGTGGCTGCAGTCGTTTTCACGTCCCGTAAGGACATATCCGTTCCAGAGCCTGGAACGCTACCAGAGCGTTCCGAAACGCTTTGGGATAGCCGCGGCGCCCGAGATGTTCCCCAGAGCCGCCGCATCTCACGTAGGATTGATTTGTCCTCACCCGATGTTACGCTCGTCCTGGTTTCGCATTACCCCTGGTGCGCGCCGCCAGCGGTGTGGTTTCGCCGCTTTGTGGCTGGTTGTACTGACACCCGTCCTCTGGTACGCGCGCTCCAGGTTTTCACGGTTTGAGCGTGTTCCGCTGCCCGCGGCGCCCTTCCCCCCCCCCTCCGGCCTCTGGCTGGTTCCGTCGCGTGTCCATCGGAGGCCCCCAGACGGTGCGGTGACCACGCCGTGTGGTGAGTCGGTGGGGATTCGGGGTCACCGCACGGTCTGGGACCCGAGTCCTCCTCCGGGGATGTCTCGGGCGGCAGTGGCCTCCTCCTCCTCCTCCTCCTCCTCCTCCTCCTCCTCCCCCTTTCCCTCCTCCTCCTCCTCCTCCCTCCTCCTCCTCCTCCTCCTCCTCCCCTTTCCTCCTCCTCCTCCTCTCCTCCTCCTCCTCCTCCTCCTCCTCCTCCTCCTCCTCCTTCCCTTCCTCCTCCTCCTCCTCCTCCTCCCCCTTTCCTCCTCCTCCTCCTCCTCCTCCTCCTTCCCTTCCTCCTCCTCCTCCTCCTCCTCCTCCTCCTCCTCCTCATGCAGCCGCGGCCCCGGCACACACCTGTCTTTGAGGTACGTGGCATACGGGGCCAGGCGTGTGGAAGGGCAGTCCAGGGAGAAACGCGCGACGGAGTGTGTCTACCAGAAGGATTTGAGCCGGCAGCCTGGTAGGAATCCAAAAACCATTTGGTGGGGTCCTCGTCCTTCTCCTCCTGCTCCTTCTCTTCGTCCTCCCCCTCCTCCTCCCCGTCCCTCTCCTACTACTCCTCCTCCTTCTTTCTGGCCTACCTACGGTAGTGGTGGCGGGAAATCTGCCATCAGACAATATGGCGGTGGTTTTTGGGATCTCTTCAGGGGAACAAGAGGTTTTGGTAATGACAATTTCCCAGGGTGTCAGACATTTCCAGGATTCCCCGGATGCTCTGATACTCGACGCGTGCTGCAGAAACGAGTGCCGCCAAACGCTCCAGAATCCCTGGAACATATCCTGCGCCGAAACAGCTGTCCGGACGACACGTAGGAGTGACCCTTCGCCGGAGTGACCTCTGGTGCGGGCTCACCTGGACCCCCCCCCCGATCGCTCAGCGAGATGCGGTAGTGGCTGCTTGCGCGCTCAGGTTTGGCCACCTTGCGCCCCCGCAGTGCACGCACCGAAGGTCACTTCTGCCCAGGGTCACTCTTGCGTGTAACCTTAACTCGGGTTTGTCCCTCTACAGGAGGAATATTCAAAAATAGTCACAAAAAAAACAGGGGACAACCACGCCCGACCTAAGTGTAACCGATTCTCGCACTAGGTTTCGCGCGTTTTCCCTTTCGGCCAGCTCCAGAGGCAGTTCGCTCAGCTGCGGCCCTGCTGTTGCCGCTTGGCGCGTCGTGCTCAACGGGAGACATATTCGAACATAGCTTTAGACTATAATCTGGGGGCGATGTTCGGACTGTTTTCGCCGATGTGGGGGGGGCTTTTTTTTGGTGTTTTACATATTTTCACACCAAAAATCCCCCTGCATGGGGGACACGCCCGAAGTAAGCCTAACGCCGACGCGGACAAGCAGCTTGTTCTGAATATTTGTTAATATGTTTCGCCCAAAAATCCCCCTGTATGGGGAACACGTCCGAATTAAGCCTAACGCCGACGCGGACAAGCAGGAGCCGCCTGGGCGAGTTTGCTGTGGCCTCCGGGCCCACGTGTCGCCCACGTGGCGCCCAGGCGAGAGGGGCCCGGCAGGGGTCCGAGGTCTGCTCGAGGCGGAGAGCACAGAAGCAGGAGGTCTTTGGCTGCGTCCTTGGCATCGCTCGGACGTGTGCATTTTTCCTTTGACGAGGACCATCGAGGAGAATCCTTGATCATTTGGCGAAAAAACCACGCACGAAACCGTAGCAAGCACCGGGAATGTACTTCCGAGCGATGGCCAGCGTCTCGGCGGTGAATGGGGGTGGTCCTAGAAGCTCCTCGTCGCGTCGGAGGTGATGTTTGTTGTTGGGCGGGCTGGATCATGTTGGGGGGGTTCTTCCCTCCCAGGGAATCAGCCCCCCCTGGGCCACCCTGCGCGACAGGAATTGTGAGCACGTGTGCACGCGGAGTGCAATACAGATCGGCACAGTCTTTGCCCTCAGGTGTTGCGCACAGTGTTTCTTAGATTTTCTGTGAGGGCGCTCTTGAGGCAAAAGAGTCGCAATTGTAGACGTAGTTGTCGGCGTCGTCGTCGCTCGGCGGTTCCGGCGGGAATTGTTGCGCAACCCTTTTTTATTGGGGGGGGTCTAAAGACCTTTCCCCGCTAACTGCATAACAATAGATGTTCGGAGGTCCGCGCGGATTTCTGGGATCCGCGCTGGTCTCTCCTTCTTGGGCGCGCGGAACGCGCCAGGGGCGTGCCAGCGTCGCCGCCAGAAGGGCCCAGCTCTGATCCCAAAGGTCCTCCCAGAGTTCCGAAGGCTTCTTCTTCTGTGGCTGTTATTGCTCGGGGGAGGGGGCGGGGCAGCAGTCTCTAGGGCAGCCGATCCCTGCTGCTCCCCCCTGGTTTACCTCAAGGGAAGAAAGAAGACCGTGACCCCGACCCCGATAGTAGGCGTTTACTAAACGGCCCTGGGCGTTTCCTAGGTAGCCCTGCCCTGCTCGATTCCCATCCTGGGTGCGTTTACGAGGTGGGTTCGCTTGACGGGTTGTGTAGTATGCGGGTGGATTTTCTGCTCTTTATTACTCGCGTCTGTGAGCCACGACTCGCAGATCCTTCCCCGATCCTTGACCGGCACGCTCTAGGCGTCCACCTGCGAGGTCGACCGCTTGCGATCGGCCCGGGCTGCACCAGTCTAGGCGTGCGGTGCGACCCGCGGCGACAAAGACAGCAGGAGGAGGCGGATCGATGATCGAGGCTCACCCAGGTAGTTGGACGTCTCTGTTGTAGTTTGGGCGGTTTTGCTCCTAGAGTCCTCCAGAACCGCCGTCATTCCTTCCCTCATCCCACATTCGTCGTCCCCACTTGTGTCATAGCTACTCTCATGTTTTATCCATCGCCCCCGCTGTACCATTCAAGAGCGCGACGCGAGGTGAACTTCCCGCTCACCAAGCTGTCCCTCTGCCGGCTGAAATCTTGACGTGAGTGCTCCGCTTGCGCAAGCGGACTCTGCAGTATGACGCCAATGCTTTCAATGGTCCGTTTGTTTCTCTTGGGGTACAGTGGCGCATCTTGTACGGGTGTTTTGCGCTGGTTCGACAGACTGGCATTCTCGGAATAGGCTCTGCGGCCAGGGCCGAAAGAGGAGGAGGAGGAGCAGCGGGACGCTAATGATCACAAGAAGGAGGTGGTGGCGGCGCTCTGTCAAGGTTGGGCAAGACATCCGATGTCTTGATTTTACCTTGCGTGGTCCCCAGAAGCCTCGCTCAATACCGGCTTGACATCCCGGGTAATCCTTTGGCAGCCCCGTGCCTTGGCGAGGGCCCCTGACAGCTGAATGCGGCCCAAAATTGTCCGTCGCGTTTTTGCCGCGACGCGAGTCTTTCTTGGTCTTGTCCCATTCGGTGCGTGCGACGCGCTGCTGAATGTGAAAGCAACTGCCCAATGCCTCCGAAGCAGCCTTTTAATTTTCTCCGCACGAGCCGCGGGATCAGAGCTCTCGACGCATCGGGGCCGCCCTGTCCTCCCCCTGATCCCAGAGCCATCCATGGTAAGGTTCACTCATATCCGATCGATCCGATGCTATCCAGCTGCTTGCGGCGAACCCCGCCGCCGCGCCTGTACAACAGAGCCACAGGAGGGATATTGGGTGTAGAAACGGCGCAATCTCAACAAGAAGTATGAGAAGGACGGGTCGTGAACTCGGCGTCGTCTTCGTTCAATAGGTCGGAAGGAGGTCGGATTCAGACTCCGCGGCAGATCAGCGAGTGGTCTGAATTTGGGAAGGTGGTGATCCCGACGTTGCCTTCGTCCGCGCGGTGGGTAGGAGCAGGAGGAGGAGGAGGAGCAGGAAAAGGAGGAGGAGGAGACGGAGGAGAGTAGGAGGAAGAGGAGGACGAGGAGGAGGAGGAGGAGGAGGAGGAGGACGAGGAGGAGGAGGAGGAGGAGGAGGAGGAGGAGGAGGAGGAGGAGGAGGAGAGGGAGGAAGATGAGGAAGAGGAGGAGGAGGATGATGAGGATGATGATGATGAGGAAGAGGTGGCTAATGATAATTACAATGATACAAGTTTTACGTATACCCGTAATCTAGGTAATACCGATCCTACTACGAAGATGGTGAAAATTAATAGTAGCAATGCCAACAAGTAATACTAATACTAATGATAATAAGGGTACTAATGATAATGCGAGCAAGAGGAGGAAGAAGAGGAGGAGGAGGCGGCGGACCAGTGTGAGCCCGATATTCATCCACGATAAGGCATCACACCGTCCCTCCAGGTTCCTACTTCATAAGTCCCATGCAAGGGTTCATTTTGACTGAGGGAACTGCCGCGTTGGGAAACAACCATTTGATGAAAGTCCTGAACTTTGCCAGGACACTATTTCTGGGACTGCACAGCCGCAAGTCACCCTTACTGTTCCGTCTTGGCGACCCTGAGCCGTGCCAGAACACCATACTTTGTATGTCAACAGCGCGAATCAACGTAAGTGTTGCGCCGTGTCATAACTTAACGTCTGTGGTGTTAGCCATGAGAATCAAGGCGAAGTCGTGTAAGCTCTCGAAACGAATACGCGGCACTGTAGTGTGAACCAACTTTCGAAAATTAACCGCTGTCCTTCCGAGAAGCTCGCGCACACTGTTTGTAACGAGTGTGCGCGTCGCTAGGACGAGAGCCACAGTTTGAAAACGAATTGCCTTCCTCCCGTGGATCTATTGCAATGCTTAGATAATCATTGGTCCGAAAGATACCCGTACCCGGGGCCAGCCAAGGTGAGATGGACAGTCCGGGGGACTGGGCGCTAGCTATTGTGCCCGGTCAGCTTGCCCCGCGCGCGCCAGTGCAGCATCCGCGCGTCAAGACGCAACGGCGCGCTCGATGGTTGGGTGTCTGATTGCAGCGACAAGCGCTGGTTTTTGTTAGGGACGTCTCGGGGTATCGTGGTGCGTGCGCTGTTCAAAGCCGCCCATATGTGGCGGCGCCTGTCCCGATCGATAAAGAGTTGCATTTCCTCGCTATCCTGGCAACCAATGCGTCTGGGCCCGCCCTGAGGAACGACGTTGCAATGTCGCGCCCCCAGGGGGGCCGCAGCGGCCACGTCGGGGACGGCTCTGGAGGGCATGCTATGTGCTCGAGAGCGTTTTGGGCCTGTCGCCACCTCGGCCAGGTACGGGGACCTGCCTGAAACCACCGAAACATACCGGGACCTAGCTGGGGTGAGCTGCGGCACCCTGGCTAGGTACGGGTATGTTGCTTGGGTTTCATGGGGCAACCGTACCTAGCTGGGGTGAGCCGCGGACGGCCGTCCAAGGGGGGCGGCCTCTGGCGACCTCGCCCAGGGCACAGATTCGCGATGTCTCTGCATCGAGCAATTCGCGATAAGGCGGTTGTCGCGCAATGGCGTTCGCGCCAATGTTGTTCGCATGCGCCCCCGAGTGCGCGTTGACTCCTCAACTCCAGGATGTGTGTCTGGGGGCGCGCCTGCGCATCAGCTGGTCTACATCGACAGCAACCAACGCAGGGTCGGGCACTCCGCCGATTCGAACGCACGTGCGATCGGTGCTAACGTGCGCCCCGAGAAGACAGCGGTCTGTAATGCTCGATCGGCTGTCGTTTCTACACTTGTGCAGCCGCCGTCAGCTGCGACGAACCGCCCCACCCCGCCGCTTGCCACCCTGTCTAGGTATGGGTACGGGTATCTTTCGCGTTCGAGATATAAGACGAGTGCGCGCGGCGCTGAGGCGAGAGCCAAAGTTTGAAAAAAAAACGCCGCCCCACGGGTCAGAGCGAATGCGTGCGGCGCGAAGGTAATAGCCACGCCACGTTTTGAAGACGGCCCGCCTTTTTTCTCCGTGACATGTTCGTTGTTGTGTGCAAGCAAGAATGCTCGTGGCGCGCAGATGCGAGCCACAAAAACAAACGCCCTCCACCCGTGAAGCTCTTGCAAGTCTCAGCTCAGGAACGCACGCGAGATCATCAGGCGGAGCGCCCGACACGCCGTACCGACACGCCCCGGGGTGGCACAGGGAGAAGTCATACATTAGGAAACCGAGAGGAGGAGGAGGAGGAGGAGGAGGAGGAGGAGGAGGAGGAGGAGGAGGAGGAGGAGGAGGAGGACGAGGACGAGGAGGAGGAGGAGGAGGAGGAGGCGGAGGAGGAGGAGGAGGAGGAGGAGGAGGAGGAGGCGGAGAAGAGCAGGAGAGTAGCAGATGAGAGGGAGAAACGAAGGACGAGGAGGAAAACGTTTCTTGGGACCCTCTCCTGGGGGCCTCCTGGGAGCCTCTTGGGAGGCCTCCTGGTCAGCCTCTTGAGGGCTTTTGGGGGCCTCCTGGGGCATCATGAAGGCATCTCAGGGCCTCTTGTGCCGTGTGAGAGGGGCGATTGGTCCGTCTGACCTCTCTGGACCGTTTTGGTGCCCTTTTGGAGCGATTTAGGGCCGTCTTGGTGCTCTCTTTGGAGCGTCTGGAGTGATTTTAGGGTCCTCTTGGGCCGACGCGGGACTTTCTCTGGGGCCTCATGGGCTTCCTTGGAGCTCAGTTGGCAGCTCTTGGGGCCGTCTTGGGCAGAAACCAAATCGGCGAGAACCTCACAATCCGGCAACCATTGAAGGACAATCCATGCTTCACGGGCTGGCACCGCGCCGCCGACCCCTCGGGGGCCAGGCTGCGGGGTCAGCAGGAAGCGACGGATGGGGAGCCGTCCGGGTTCGTTTGGGGGCCTCTTAGTGGGCGGTTCGAGGCGGTCTCTGTGGCTATTTTCGCCTTTGGGTACCTTTTGCTTGCTGTTTGGAACGTCTGTTGGGGCCTGGTGCGCCGTCCTGGGGGCCAGCTGGGCAGTGGGGGAACTTTGGCAGTGGGGCAGTGGGCAGTGCGCCGTCTTGGAGCCGCGTTGGGGCGTTGCGGGGGCCCCGTGCTCCATCGGGGGCCGTGGGTGAGAAAACGTGGGCCGTCTGGGAGACTATCTGCAACAGTGTTGGCCCAATGGCTGTCTTGGAGCTCTGCTGTGCCAGATGAGCCCGGGAGCCCATCCGGCCAGACCCCATCCTGTTTTTGCCGGAAGTTCCACGCCGAGGAACCCCAAGGGATCGGCGAATTTGAGACACGCAGGGCCAAACGCCCGACGCATTGCCCGTGGGGCGTTTGGCCCTGCGTGTCCGACCCAGGCCGATGGGGGCCAGCCCGCATTTACGGACATCGCACATCTATCGCGGGAGCAGATGAGCCATTCTTTTGTCCAGGGTTCGAGTCATTGGTTTGTCGTAGTCCGTCAGTGCGACGTTGCTCACCGAGCGCGTTCTACTACTCGCAGAGCACCTGCTCGCAAACGCTCGGAAAGCACATGGCCGCCTCCACGAGCAGACACGTCGCAGATCCCCCGCCGCGGATCTCCAGGCGACTCTGCGAGCAGTAACTTTGCGAGCAGTGGAACGCGCTCGTCAGCAGCAACTTTGCGAGTGCTCTTGCGAGGCGTAGCTCTGCGCGAAGGGGGGGGGGAGCCGAAGGGGCTCTCGAATGCTCCGCGTGCCGGGGAGAAAAGGGGGCGGGCCGAGGCCCCCGCGTGGCAGGCGGCGGGCATGCAGAAGCGAAAGAAAAACGTATGCGTACGTGAATCGGGGATGGCCAGGACCCCAGGTAAGGGGACCAGGTTAGTGGTAGGGCCCCGGAGCCTTTGACTTAGCCAGGATCACTAAACCAGGTTTGCCATAGCTGGTGTTTTTTTCGGGTGACGGCAGTTCCGGTTAGTGGAAATGGGACGAGGGGGCGCCCCCGGTACAGATCACGAAGCCAGGTTCCACTAAACCCAGTTCTACCGACGCCCGACGACTGCTCGTATCACGCGGCCAGTCTCGCAGATCGAGGGGCCGTGTTCATGTACAGAGCTGGGCGCGCACGTCCTCCGTGGGCTCCCCAGGCACGTGTGCCAACGCTGCCGGGGGACGCGCGCACCACGGGGGCCCCCGGGGCCCCGTGCGGCAGGCGGGGGAGGCGCCCCCAGGGCGGGGAAGAGGACGCCGCGAGGGCCTCGACCAGACGCAGGAGCGGCCTTTCGCCGGAGCGTCGCCGGAGTGACCTCTCGCGAGGCTCCCTCGGTAGGAGAACAAAACGTGGCATGAACATAAAAACTCGGAGGTCCGCGCGGATTTCTCGGATCGGCGCTGGACCCCCCTCCCTGGCGCGCGGAGCGCGCCAGGAGCGGCGCCGGAGGCGCCGCCGGGGGGGCCCAGCGCCGATCCGAGAAATCCGCGCGGACCTGCGAGTTTTTATGTGTATGTAACTTTTTGTTGTTCCCCCACTCAGGTGGCTGAAAGCGAGGCGGTGTCAGCGGCCTGCGCGCCAAGGTTGGGTCTCCCCGCGGCCCCCAAAAGAGCCGCGCATCACAGGTCACTCATACCCAGGGTCACTCCTGCGTGTAGCCGAGAGGGGAGCCTGCGAAGGTCGCGGCGCGGCGGCACGAAGCTGCTCGGACGGCGGCGAGCGGCGACGATTGGCAGGAGGCCTTTGTGAGGAACATCCTGGAGGCCTCGCGCGGCGGGTGACGTCAAGCAGTGGCGAGGCGTACGGGCGTGCCCATACGTAGGCCCACCAAACAATGTTCTGAGAACCTTCAGTGGCTTCCGTGGCATGTTCTTAGAGCATGTGTGCCTGGGACTGCCTTGTTTTAACCTCGGGTTTATGCATTAAGAACATTGCCTCTGTTCTACAGACAGTTTTGGGTTCTAAGATAATTTCGTGGTAGGCCAATCTGAATGCCGGGACGGTCGGTCCCTGCTCAAAAATAGTAGTATTATCTAGTCCACATGTCATCTCCGCAGGCTAAGGGTCGACGTTTGTTCCGCGATGCTCCAGCGTCAGTCCGACATAAATCCGACGTGAACCCGACGTAAAGCCGACGTGGATCCGACGCAAACCGAGTCTTAAGTTGCCGCGCGAGGCCTCCAGGATTTTACTCATCAGAGTCTTCCCGCCGCGCAGGTACGCGATAGAGATGTGGTGACAGAGCGACGCGTGCTCTCTTGGGTTGTTTTGGCTTTGGCTTCGCATGTGAGACCCGATGGGCCGTCTCGGGGCGTTGGAAGCTCGAGATCACGGCGAGAACATCGAAACAGTGGGGGGGGGGCAAGGAGAATCGAAGATGTTTGCCGCTTGGGGCCCTGTTGGAGGTCCTTGTGAATCTCGTCGAGGGGAGCCCGTCAAGGCGAGAACATCGAAACAAAGCCAGGATTTGGTAGGGTTTGGCGGGTCGAAGCGTGAGTGTCTCGCCGCGTGTTCTTGCCCGGCATTTCTGTTTTCTCTTTTCTGTCGGCCGTCGATTTTTCCCGCTATGGCGCTCAAGGTGCGGTTCGGAGAGTTGTATAGTTTCGAACGGTCTCGTGAGCCGTGTGCTGATCTCTCCGCTCCATGAAGCGAGACTGGAACACCGCGCCCCTTCGGAGAATTAGCCGTCGGTCGCTGAACGTGGGTATTGCGCTGGATTTCCGGATCCCAATCTGCACTCGGCGCCTTCCTACCTCAATGCTCGAGTGGTTGCACCCTTTCTTCTCCCTTCGAGCGGCGGGCGGAAGCCCAATCCACTTCCAACGCCTGCCTACCTCATTCTTCCACCCACGTCTTCCGACCGGCGGGCCCCCTTTTGCACGTGATGGCGTGGCGAGGTTTCAGATCGACGGCTCCAAGCGGTCGGGCCACAGCAACGCCTACTTCTTCGGCTTCTGGAGGTGCCCCTCCGCGCCCTGGGCGGCGCGCGGACGGAGATCCGGAAGCTCGTGTTGATGCCAGTGCCGGCCCCCCGAGCGCAGACGTGCGATCTTCGGCCACATGTAAGAGAGCGACCTTTCGCCGGAGGGACCCCTGGTGCGGGCCCGCTGGGGCCCCCCGATGGACGAGCGCGATGCGACGGCAGCGTCTTGCGCGCGCGGGCTTGCCCCCCCCCCTCCGCGGCTCCCCGCGAGCCGTGCGCCAAAAGCTTGGCATCGCTCGGACGTGTGCATTTTTTCTCGGCGAGAACCATCGAGGACCATCCTGGACCATCGAGCAACAAAAACACGCACGAAACCGAAACATGCACGGGACATGGACGTCCGAGCGACGGCAATAAATCAAGAGGGAAAGAAACACACAGACACAAGTAATCGGCGATTCCCCAGAAAATATGGCAAAATATGGGAAGTGGGGGGGAAGACAAGAACCCTGAAACTATGAGAAGATATGGGGAAATATTTTATGTGTGTGTGTCTTTACGTGTGTGTCCCGGGGCCCCTTCAAGACAGTCGCCCAGGCCTATAGGGCCACTCTTCCCCGACCCCAGACGTCGCGACCTCTGTCGCGGCGTCGGCCCCCAGAGGTCTCGAGTCATTTCCCCTGTGGGAGCCCTTCCCTGGGACCGGCTCTTCCCTGGGACCTCCCCTCCTCCTCCTCCTCCTCCTCCTCCTCCTCCTCCTCCTCCTCCTCCTCCTCCTCCTCCTCCTCCTCCTCCTCCTCCTGCTCCCCCTCCTCCTGCTCCCCCTCCTTCTCCTCGCCCCGAGACGCCACACTCGCGCACATGACGCCCCGCGGTGCCCGGCACGCGGTCCTCGGACCAGCTCAGCGGCTCAGCATTCTTCCCTTCCCTGGGACCCCTTCCCTGGGACCCCTTCTTCCCAGAGGTCGTGACCTTTGTCGCAGCGTCGACCCCTTCCCTGGGACCGGTTCTTCATCCCGAGTCGTCTTTACACTCTCCCGAGGCAGGGAAGGGTCCCAGAGGCCGAGGTCAGCGAAACAATTCCTGTCGTGATGGGGGTCCGGGTTGCGCACCTGGGCCGCGTACCTTCGGCGCGCGCACCGGCAGGTCGACCCTGCGAAATCAAGGGTGCTCCTTGTGTCCCGTCCGTCCATTCTCACGTCCTCTGTGCGTTCAGAGTGAGGCTATCCCTGTGTCCTGCCGTGGTACCGTCGGGAGAGTCCCGTGTCCTGTCGCGTGTCCCCTCGTGTGCGCTCCCACGGTATAGCCAAAATCTTCACGCAGCTCGAGTATCAGCCTGGAACATATCCCTACCCTTACGCTGGGCATCTCCTCATCACGATGCCCTTTATCTTTACGCTCAGCGATTCCCTACCCCTATCCCTGTCCCTACGCTTAGGGATTCCCTCATTTTTTTGAGGGCGCATCCCTAAGATTGTCATCGCTTTTTGGCGTGTCAATCTTAGGGACAGGGACAAGCCAAATGCATGGGAAGAGACAAAAGCCCCAGCTGGCGTCTAACTGTGAGCATCTGTGCTATCAAAAACTGTCAATGTCCGAGCGGCGCGAGGGAAAACAAGGCGGCCTCAACTTCACTCGAGGCTGCAGGGTAAGTCCACAGCGGCGGTCAGCTGCCAATCACAATCCTGCCCTGCAGCTCCGACTCATCATGTTGCTGCCGCCAAAGCTGACAATGGCCCCGTGCTCCTCGGCCATTCTTAGGGACAGGGACAAGGTCGAGGCTGGTAAGCTCGCGGCGCGGAGCCAGGGGGCCAGGGCGTGCCCGGTGGAGCGCCAGCGGCGGCCCGGAAGCGGCCAAGGTGGCAGGGCCTGGGGATCGTCGTCGTCCTCCTCCTCCTCCTCCTCCTCCTCCTCCTCCGCCTCCTCCTCCTCCTCCTCCTCCTCCCCCTCCTCCCAACAGCAGTTCTGGTACGTTCTGACAGGGTTCGCTGTGGTCGAGGGCGGCAAAGAGGGGGGTGATGATAAGGGGGGGGGATATCATGGCGGGGGCCATGATATTTCCCAGAATTCGTGGCGCCTCTTCTTACTTCATTGCGCCCCTGGGCCCCCCGCTGGGCCGCGCACATGCCGCCGGCCATGATTTGCACCCCCCCCCTCTTGGACACCCCCCTCTTGGCCGCTCCCGAGATGGGAGGGCCGCCGATTGTTCGAGGCTGGGCTCGGTGGTTCAGAGATGGGGTCCTGAGGGATGGGGTGCTAAGGGTAGGAAGGGATCCAAGGGTGGATCTGCGTTGTTTGGGGCACCTCGTCCTGAGGACCTCATCCCCAAGGACACCAGCTTTGAACCACCGGTGGACGGTCCACACGGTGTCAGGAACCAATGCCGAAGTCATCACGGTGGGCGCCGTCGTTGGCCACGGTGCGATGGGTGCCATGATCGTGCATTGCAGGTAACCCATCTCTTTCTTTCACCGCCTCGCTCATTCCGCTGGCCCGTGTTGTGCCATCGCAGGCATTCGCCTGCGCGTTCGTGGCCTCTTGAGGGCCGTTTGGGGGCCTCTTGGGGGCCTCCATCCATGGTGCCTGCCTCCTGGGCTCTCTTGGGAACCTCTTGGGGCCTCCTGGGGGCCTCTTGGGGCGGAAGGCTCGAATTGGTGGTTCGTGTTCTCCCGCTTGGGCCTCTCTTGGAGCCATTTTGGGGCCCTTTTGGGCGATCCTGGGCTCCTCTGCGGCCGTTTTGGGGCCCTCTTGGACTGTCTTGGGGCTCTCCTGGGGGCCCCTCGGGCCGTCTTGGGGTGGTCCTGGGGACCTCTGGGGCCATCTTGGAGCCTCGGAAGACCGGAAACGCGAGCAGGCGAAAAATTCCTGAAAAGCAGAAGGACCATCATTGCTTTCTGCTTCTTGGGCCCTCCTCGGGGTCCTCTCGGAGCGCTCCTGGGGCTTCTCTGTGGGGCCGCTCGGGGCATCTTGGGGCCACCTTGGGCGTCTTGGAGCGCTCCTGGGCCGTGCCTCCGATCCGTGGGCCCTCCTGGACTTGCCGTGAGGTTCCTCGGGCCCCGCTCCTGGGGCGATCTGGAGGGCCCCGGCATCCGGGAGTCGGCCGGGGTACGTTTCGTCTGGGGAGCCCCGTGAAGGGGCCGCCCCCTGCGCGCAACAACTGGAGTGTGCGTATATACTCTGTGAGCCAGTTACCGGATATCTTAGCACGCCTCTAGCCCGTTGGCCCGGCGAATGTGTGCGTGTGCGTGTGCGTGTGCGTGTGCGTGTGCGTGTGCGTGTGCGTGTGTGTGTGTGTGTGTGTGTGTGTGTTTGCGTGTGTGCGTATGCGTGTGCGTGTGTGTGTGTGTTGTGTTTGTGTGTGCTTACGTGTGCGTGTGAGTGTGTGTGTGTGTGTTTGTGTGTGAATGCGTGTGTGTGTGAATGTATGTGTGGGTATGTCTCTCTCGCTCTGTGTCGCTCTTCCTTTCTCGTCTCTTTCAAGGGCTCTCTCTCTCTCTCTCTCTCTCTCTCTTCGCTCTCTCTCTCTCTCTTACTCTCTTGCTTTCTCTTTCGGGGAATCGTCCGCCCCGAGTTTGCGGGAACTTGGGTTTGCCGACGCTGTTCGACGCGCCCGTCCTGCATTTTGACGGTTCAGCTCTCGTGGGATGTTTGCAGCGGCAGTTTGCGTCGAATTTCAGATTCGGTCCTGTCATGTTTCTGACGGCCTCGTTTGGCAAACCCGTGTCCCCGAACCCGAGTTTTACATCTCTGTCCCCTATCTCTCTCTCTGTCTATCTATGTGTTTTTTGTTTAATCTCTCTCACTCTCTCTCGCTCTCTCTCCCTCTCTCTCTCTCTCTCTTTCTCTCTCCTAGCGCGACGAGGAGCTTGAGAGGGCGGCGGAGGAGAGGAGGAGGGTGGAGGGCGTCGTCAAGGATGATCTTGACCTCTGCTTCACCACCCAACTGGTTTTTGGTTTTCGCTCGCATTCGGATGCGGTCCGACCCTTCATGGTCGTGGGCGCTCCCTCCTGCAACCATGCCTCCACGTTGGAATCCAATGCCCCTCTGTTCTGAGGCAGTTGTATAGGAGGAGGTACACAAGACAGAGTGTGCACTCAGTTTGGAGGAATCAGGGGATTCAGTACAGGTCGGGCTTGAAGTGCCTCGAAGAAAGCGCGCTTACCCGAATCGCAAGCATGTGGCTATATGCGTACCGAGGACAGTTTGCTTCCCGTCGTCGTCATCGCCCTTGCTTCGTCCCCTTCCTTTCTTCCCTTGTGTCGAAAACGTCCGCGGCTCGGGCGGGAGAGCGCCCCTTTTCCATTTCCCCAATGTTTTCCTCGTTAGTCGTTGCCTCCCTGTTCCATTGTCCGTCGTCATACCTCGTCTTCCTTCCCTGTTCGAAGAAGGGAGGTGAAGTCCCTGGTGCATCGTGCCCGTATCATCGAGTGGTATACAGCCCCTTCGATATCCGAGCACAACGGCGCAACCAAAAAGAGGGGATTGCCCATGCAAGCGTTCTGGGCGCACTCCAAACGCGGGTGGCACGGCCGCCAAGCACAGCCGCATCGCTCACATGTGAATGTACAGATGCCTGCAGCAAGGTCCGCCCCCTTGCCAGCGCAGTGGTCGGTGTGGCGATGCGTGGAGCTTGGATTGATACAAGGTCCGTGGCATGTGACACCTCTCGTGTTTTCGGACTGCTGTGCGGCCTTATTCGGGGTCCTTTTGGGCCCTTTTTTCCCCAGGCGTCTTTTCGGCAATTGGGGGCCATTTTGGTGCCGCATTTCACCGTGGCCTCCCTGGGCCAGGGAAGCGCGCATTTGCAGTTCCCTCGGGGGCGCCCTGGGTGGGGAAGTGTGTGTTTGCATTCCCTCCTGGCTGGGTACGTTGATCTCGGGTCTGGGTTGGCAAAGTCGGGGTACCCTCGAAGTGGCGAGCGTCTCCTTTTCATACACAGATCAAGGTGTGATCTGTGTACACAGCTGGTGCCTTCAAGTGTGTAGTTTCGTGTGTGTGTCCACGAGGTACGCAGATCGTGGTGATCCGTGTGCACAGA